AGAGCTGCTGGCCGAAGCCACGAGAGCTGACGCTCTCCTCCCCCCCCTCGCGCGGGCCGCTCGGGCTGCCCCGCGCGCGCGCGCCGGAGGCCCACCGCCGCCGCCCGCTCCCTCGCAGGGCCGCCCTGCCTCCTCGGGACGACATGGGCGCAGTCTCTCTCTCTCTCTCTGTCTCTCTCTCTCAGACTCCGGCACCCGTTCCTCCTCCTCCTCCTCCTCCTCCTCCTCGTCCTCCTCCTCCTCCTCCTCCTCCTCCGTATTTTTCCGATGTTGGCTCCAATCCGATTCCGCCTTCTTCTTCGACACCAGCCTTCGCTGCCCGACTCCAGCTGTTGCCCTCGGCCACTCCCGGCCGTTCGCCTACTTTTTCTTCTGCGGCCTCCCCAGAACCAGCTCCACTTATTGTCGGGGGCGGAAGAGAGGGGGGTGATGACTAGGGGGGGTTGGATATCATGGCGGGGGGCATGATATTTCCGCAGGTTTCATGGCGCCTCGTCTGATTCCACTACGTCCCTGGCCCCCCCGCTGGGCCGCGCACATGCCGCTGGTCATGATTTGCCCCCCCTCCTCTTGGACACCCCCCCTCTTGGCCGCTCCCGATCTCTTTCTCTTCCCCAATCAGTGCTTGCACTGAAGGGGTCCTGGCGGAAGTTGAAAGATTTGGCGAAAGTTTCCCGCCGATTTTGGTAGCAGGCTGGGTGGAACTGGATTCCCAGGTTCCAGGTTCCCGGGTTCCCGGTTACTGGTTCCGGGCTGATTTCGGTGGGTTCTGGGTTCTTGGGCTCCAGGGTTCCCGGTCGATTTCCTCAGCGAAATCAATCAATCGATTGTTTTTTTTCCTCTGGTGTTATATATATTATATATATATATATCTTTATGTATATTATATATAGGTAGACCCAAGGCCCTCCTGTAGATGGCAGAAGAGCCCCTCTCGCAGCAAGCACCCCGACGAGCGAAGCCTTGTGGCAGGCGCACCCGAGGAAGGGATGGAGCAGGGCCAGGCAGGCTCGGTAGACGCCCAGGGCTGTTTTAGTCAATGCCGCGTGTGGGGATTCAGGTGTCCTCTCCTCCCTGGATTGTTGGGCCTGTTTTCCACCACCACCACCATGAGTTGGAGGGGGGAGGGGGTCCTCCTCCTCGTCCTCCTCCTTGTCCTCCACCTCCCTCCCCCCTCCAACTCATGGTTGTGGTTGTGGTGGTGAAAGCAGGCCCATCATGGATCCTGGTCCAGCAAGCGCTCCCGGGCACGGGCGCGCAGGGCGCTCGGCTCCGGCGAGGGACGGCCGGTGGCGTGCGCAGGGCGGCGGGCCGGGCCGGGCAGGCTCGGGGGCGGACGGGGGAAGGCGTGGCGGCGCATCTCAGGGGCAACCGCTCGGGGGCCAGAAGAGCTGACGGGCCTGTTTTCCACCACCACCACCACCACCATAAGTTGGAGGGGGAAGGAGGTGGAGGACGAGGAGGAGGAGGAGGAGGAGGAGGAGGAGGAGGAGGAGGAGGAGGAGGAGGAGCAGGAGGAAGAGGAGGAGCAGGAGAAGGAGGAGGAGGAGGAGGAGGAGGAGGAGGAGGACCCACTCCCCCTCCAACTCATGGTGGTGGTGGTGGTGGAAAACAAACCCATCAAAAGCCCCTGCGTTCCACACTCGTCGATTCCACTGGTATAGCACGATGGCTGTATCCTCGCGACGTGTTCGGCCCTCGCGCTGGCAGTAGCGCGAGCCCCTCCCGCGCCACCAGCGGGCCTCCAGGGCGGGACCCCAGCGCCCGATGCGGGCTCGGGCACCTCGAGAGCGGCGTGGTCGCTGGTCTCCGTCGCTGGTCGTCGTCGTGTCAAGTCCGACATTCAGGGTCATCGCGGGGGCAACGTCAACGGTGGGTCAGGCTCAGGGGGGGGACTGAGCTTCGAGGTTCGAGTTTCGAGGTTCTCTGGCGTTCGTGGTTCCCTGCAGTCTTCCAGCCTCGGGATGCCCTTCACCGGCGGCGCCTCGCCCGGGCGTTCCGGGGGTGCCCGCGTCGCAGCGAACGGCCACCAGAGGCCCGAGTTATGCGAGCCGGCACCCGGAGGTCGAGGGTCAGGGGCAGAGTTGGGGGGGGGCCGTGGGCTCAGGGGGGAAGGCATCGATCCAGTGGCGGCCTAAGCAACCACCAGCAGACCATAACCCTTCCGTGACGTCCCCCTCGCTTCGCCCCAAGACGTACGTGTGCGGCCGGAGGGAAGCTCGAAGGGCGAGGGTGACGTCACAGAAGGGGATGGTTTGCTAGTGGTCGGTCTGCGCTCTTGACTGAATGCCCCCCCGCCCGTGTCCTCCTGGTCCTCGTTTGCGTCGTCGACGCCGCGTTCCTCTGGTACTTGCTTGGTTCCGTTTCCACTGAAGTGCCAATGGGTCTCCAGTGCTTTCCCGCAGTCCCTCCACTGTAGTTGGGACTTCCCTCCTGTCACTCTGGAAAGATGAGGACGGAGAAGATGAGCATGAGGATGAAGAGGAGCCACCAGATGATAAACGTGAGTGAGGAGGCATCGCGCTTGTGTCTTCCGACCTCGAGCTTTCGCACGCGCCGTCTTCCTCTCCCAGGGCGTTTCTCGTATACTCCTCTCGCTCCTTGCGCCCGTGCTCGCCACTTGTCTTGCCGTCACCATGGTCTCACCCCGTTTCTCTGTGGTGCGCCGCTGTTGCCTGATCATCTTGTCATCCCATCCTTATCATCCCAGCCTTGTCACCTGAGCTCGACCGCTCACCCAGGTCCAGATAATTATCCCCTTCTTGTTCCTCGAGATTGTTTTTTAGACCCATTCGCGCCGGCGCCGTCAGGGAATGCGTGAGAATGGCCCTCCCTCCCTCCCTCCTCCTCCTCTCCTCCACAATTACTCGATATGAATACTACTCTCCTCCTTCCCCTGATGACGGGTTGGGAGTGTTCGCCCCCCCGCGTACTGTTTTTTTACACAGGATTCCCCGGAGTTGGGTTTTCGCCTGCATTTTTTTCCCCAAATGCTGCTCTCGCTGATGCGCCGTCCTCATTTTCGGGCCCCGCTCGTTCCGAATCGTGCTCCCGCTGCAGCGCTGGCCTCATTTCCGTGCTTCCGCTCGTTCCGAATCGTGCTCCCGCTGTAGCGCTGGCCTTATTTCCGCGCTTCCGCTCGTTCCGAATCGTGCTCCCGCGGCAGCGCTGGCGTCATTTCCCGTGCCATGCCACGGCATGCAATGCAATGCTAGGTTGCGTTCCGCTGCGCGATGCCATGCCTTGAGCTGAAGCTGCGATATGCAGTGCTTAAGTGCCACGTCGTGCTATGCCATGCTACGCTTTGATCTTCAACGCCATGCTATGCAATGTTATGTTCGGGGCCGCTGTGTGATGCCATGCTTTGCGTTGCAAAGCTTTGTGATGCAATTCTTCACTACGCCACGCCACTCCATGCTGTGACATACTACGCTTTGCGGTGCTCTTCTACGCCATGCCATGCCGTGCTCTACAATGCATCGCGTACCCTTTCGGGATCATTGCCCTGCTCGACATCCGACGGTGCGAGTAGAGAGGGGGTCTACGCCATGGTAAGTGATGGGAGGGAGGGGTAGGATGTCAGATATGACGCGAGCGCACCTAGCTTGTCCCTTCCCCTCCCTCCCTTCCTCCCTCCCTCCTCATCCTCCTCCTCCTCCTCCTCTTCCTCCTCCTCCCTCCTCCTCCCGCCTCCTGCTCCTCCTGCTCCTCCTGCGCCCAGACGGCGCTGGTGCAAATCGTGACGCGACCAGGGGTGTGGGTGGCGGGGGTTTGCGGCGAAGTGAACACAAACGTGCTCCTCGCTGTTCTCGTTCCTGTCCTCGTCCTCGCCATCTGCCCCCTCGCGCCTCTCCGCGCCTGCTTCTCTCGCTCGGGCCCGGCGGCCGCGCGCTGCGCCGGCGCGAGGCGGGAGCCGAGGCCGTGAAGCAGGCCCTCGTGATCCTCCAAGAGTCCCCCCCCTCCTCGGCCCCCATGCGCGAAGAGTGCCGGAAGAGGGACGGGGAGGAAAGAGGGGGTCAGCAGGGCAGGCGTGGACCCATACGGTGTTTTGGCGATTTCGTGGGCCGTTTTCGTTTCGATGTCGTTTTGCAGCAGAGGCGAATGCAAGACAAAACGAGGAACAACGAAAGCAAAACGGAAACGAAAAACACTGTTTAGGTCCAGCCCTGCAGCAGGGCAGAAGGAGGAGGAAGGGGAGGCAGCAGAGCAGGGGGGGAGGGGGGGAGCAGGGGCCCGTGCGCGGGACCTTCCTCGTCCCACCTCCGCTCCGCGCCGCACGCCGACTCAGGCAAAACCCGCCCGGGCCCCCCTGAGCGTGCCCCCTGGCTGTGCGGGGGCAGGGAGGGGCGGGTGATGGTGATGGTGATGGTGATGGTGGTGGTTCATTATGGTTATGGTGGTGATGGCCATGACGAGGATGGTGATGGTGGTGACGATGGGGATCATGACAGTGATAATGACCATAGTGGTGGTGCTGACGATGATGACGATGATGGTGGTGGTGGTGATGATGACAATTGTCCAGCAAGGTGATGATGGTGGTAGTGATGATGACGATGATGACGATTATGATGATGATGATGGTGGTGATGATGATGATGATTCATCATGATGATGTTGATGGTGATGATGTGGTGGTTCTGATGATGATGGTGGTAGTGACGATGATACTGATGATGATGATGATGATGATGATGATGAGTATGATGATGATGATGATGATGATGATGATGATGATGATGATGATGATGACGATGCTGATTCTGATGACGATGGTATGACGATGTCGATAATTGATGGTGGTGATGATGATGCCGATGATGATCATCATAATGATGCTGATGCTGATGATGATGATGATGATGATGATGCGGATGATTATGCTGATGATGATATGATGAGCATGATGATGCTCGTGACGGTGATAATGATTATGCTGATGATGCAGCTGTTGATGATGATGATGATGATGATGATGATGATGATGATGATGATGACGGTGATGGTGATGATGATGTCGATGATGATGACTATGATGACGACGAGGATGATGATAATGATGATGGTGACGAGGACGACGGCGATGATGATTATGCTGCTGATGATGATTATTGCGATGAGGGTGATGGCGGTGCTAATGATGACGATGTCGATGCTGGTAGGGCTGGTGATGATTATTTTGATTATGCTGATGATGCTGATGATGCTGATGATGATGATGCTGATGATGCAGACCATATTGATGATGATGATGATGATGATGATGATGATGATGATAATGATGATGATGATGATGATGATGATGATGATGATGATGATGATGATGATGATGATGATGATGATGATGAGACGGTGATGATGATTGTGATGTTGATGGTGACTGTGTCAATATTGATGATAATGATCATGACGATGGTGCTAATTATGCTGATGGTTGTGCTGGTGTTGGTGGTGATGATCTAATGGTGATCAAGGTGGTGTTTGTTCTGGAGGTGATTGTGGTGGTGATGGGTACGACTATGTAGCTGCTGCTTTCGGTGGCGGTGGTGAGGAGGATAGTGATGATCATGACGACGAGCATGATGATGGCGATGAATGTGAAGATGGCGAGTACGATTACGATTTGCATGATTGAGGATGCAGAACCGATGCTGCTGCGGATGATGATGACGCCAGCGGCGATTCTGAGGAGGGTGGTGATAGTGACGTTGGTGACGATGGTGACGACGATGTTGATGGTGATGCTGCTGCTGTTGATGACTATCACAGAGAGTAGGATGGTGCGGCAACAGGCGCAGGAGAAAGACTAGTAGCAGGATGCGGATTCGGTAGGGGGCAGAGACCCCGTGGACGTTCCCAGGGGCACCCTTGTCGCCAGAGGGTGCGGCCGCTTAGCCCCCCTTGTCCCCGCCTCCCGCCTCGTCCTCCGCCTCCTCCCCCTCCCTCCTTCCCGTTTCTTTCCTCCCCTTCCATCTTCCACCTCCAGCCTTCGACCTCCACCTATCGACTTCCCACCTCACGCATCCAGCTTCCAACTTCCGACTCCCACCATCACCCACAGCTGCCGACTCCCAAATCTTCCACCTCTAGCTTTCGACCTCCACCTGTCGAGTTCCACCTCACTGACCGACATTCAGCGTCCAACTTCCGACTCCCATGAACCCACCGACAGCTGACAACATCTAACCCATCGACCTCTCTCGCATCGTGCGGCCGACCCCCAGCCTTCAGCTTCAGACTCACAGCAATCACCGCCAGCTACCACCATCCAGGCTTCCAACTCCAGCTTTCGACTTCCAGCCTCAAGGGCATGATCTCCAGCTTCACGGGCACCATCTGATCAGGCCTCGCTTTCTGACGCTCCGGCGCTCCCTCGCCGCACCCGCAGCACCCCAGACGGTGCCCATGTGCGGGCGTGCTTCCGTGCTTCCGTGGTTCCCACGGTTCTTCATCCTCGGGAATCGGGCTGTTGCCGCCTCTGAAGTCCCAGTCAGACGCGGCCCCCTCCCCTCAGCGGCCTTCGCTGCTGGTGGGGCGCAAGAAGACGCAAGAGACGATCGAGGCTGCGTGCTTGAGGGGGAGATGATGAGAAACGACGAGACGGCGAGACGACGGAGTGGCCTGTGACAAAGGCTTGCCCTTCTCCTCTCTCGCTTCCTCCTCCTTCTCCTTCTCTTCCTCCCCCCCCTCCCCCTTCTCCTCCTCCTCCTCCTCCTCCTCCTCCTCTTCCTGACTCTCCTCCTCCTCCTGACCCCTCATCCTTCACCCCCCTCCTCCTCCTTCTCTTCCTCCTCCGCCTGACCTTCCTCTTTCTCGTCCGGTCGTCTTCCGCCCCCGTCCCTCCGCGGAAAGGTTCTACTCCTCGCAGGGCTCCTCCCTCCTGCAAGACCAGAAGCAGGTGCCCGAGGCCCAGAAATGCGCCCCGCGCGGGGCGGGTGGGCGGGAGACGACGACGATGATTATCATGATGATGATGATGACGATGATGATGCTGACGGTGATGTTGATGATGACGATGATGTTGACGATGATTCGGTTGACGATGATGAGGATGTTGATGATGATACCGGCGGTGGGGATGACGATAATGGTGATGCGGATGACGAGGTTGATGATGATGACGATGACGATGACGATGGCAATGGCGATGATGATGATTATGATAATGATGATGATGACCATGACGATGATGATGACGATAATGTTGATGATGACGGTGATCATGATGATGATGAGGATGAGGATGGTGATGGTGATGGTGATGCTGATAGTGGTGATCGTGGTGATGGTGGTGATGACGATGATGATGATGATGATGATGATGATGATGATGATGATGATGATGCTGATGATGATGATGATGATGATGATGATGATATTGGTTTTGGTGATGCTGCTGCTGCTGCTGATGATGATGAGGATGATGATGATGATGATGATGATGATGATGATGATGATGATGATGATGATGATGATGATGATGATGATGATGATGATGATAATGATGATGTTGATGATGATGATGATACTGATGAATATGATTACGATAACGATGACGATGATGAGGATGACGATGATGAAGATGATAATCTTTATCGCACAAGAGGGCGCAGGTGAACACAAAAGCATCGGCAAATGCTCCCATTGTGGGGTATCGTGACGACCCGAGCGTTGGTTTCTGACGCCGAAGTGGCTCGTCCAACCTTGAACGATCAGCGGCTTTGCGACCGCCAGATCGTTCCCGATTTAGGGGGCAAAAACTCGGAGTTCTGCCCGCCTCGCCCTGCACTGCCGCTGCCCCTTCCTTGCAGCGGGGGGAAGGGAGCGCAGCTTCTCTTGACACTGCGACCGACATGAATATTCAAGCGGCGTGCGTGCAGGAGGAAACACGGCAGCGCAGCGAGGCCAGCCTGAAGTCTCTGGGCAGACCTGGCAGGCCTGACCCAGATCGAATCGCCAAATCGGATCGAGTCGGAAACGGGTCTGATCGGGAGCGAGTCTTTCCGAATCGATTCGAAATCGGATCGCCGCGCCAACTGGCCCCAGCCGACGCCTTAAAATCAAATCGGAATCGCAGCCCCAACAGGCGAATCGAATTACATTGCATGGAGTCGTAGGCGGCCCTGCATCGTGTGGGGTGACCTCGCACCGGTACACAAGAACTGATGGCCAACGTCCGTGTCCGTGATTTGGTCGTGCGAGCGTGCCCCTAAATCGGGTTGCCAATACATAATGTGATCCAGCCGTGGCGCGGGTCGAGCATACGCACATTGTAGCAAATCGCGCAGGACCCTACATGCGGTGCCCCCCGCAGAAACAGAACATACAACAAACTGCGTGGACCTCGTGCTCTTATATCGCATCAGCACTCTGGGAACAGGTGCTATGACAGATCGTTTCTTCCCTCTTCCACCACCCCATCTTCCCCTAGCATCGCATCCCATAATTAGGTTCGCTCACCGGCAAAACGGTCGGCAAATATAAACGACTCCATCCCCCTACATGGCCTCCCTTCCCCCTTCCATCCCTGCCCCCCTCCTCCTTCCCCTCCGTCCTGCCGTTCCCCCATCTGTCCCTCCCTCACCATACTCTTCCTCATCATCATCAATATCATCATCATCATCATCATCATCATCATCATCATCATCATCATCATCATCATCATCATCATCATCATCATCATCATCATCATCATCATCATCATCATAATCATCATCCTCATCCTCATCCTCATCCTCATCATCCTCATCCTCATCCTCCTCATCATCATCATCATCATCATCATCATCATCATCATCATCATCATCATCATCATCACCGTCTTCATCGTCGTCACCACCACCGCCACCCTCACCACCATCGTTGTCAACACCACCACCACCACCTTCACCACCATTTTTTGGGCATCTTTTGCATATTTTTTGCATATTGTTTCTTTTTCGTCCAAAATCCCCCTGTAGGGGGACAGGCCCGACCTAAGACTCGGGCGGATATTCACTGGAGACAACAGGCGTCATCCAGCGATGTGCAGCTGAGTGCGCAGCGGTCTGGGCGCCGGCGCCGCGCGAGGCGCGGCGTGAAGAGGTGTCTGCGCCTCCCGGCCGCGGTCGGGTTCCGGGGGCTGGTTGGGGCCGTCCGAGCAGGGGGTCTCCGAGCGAAGGGTAACTGCATTTCTGTGGCTGTTTAGCTGGCCTGGCCCACCACTTTGATTTGGACGCCCGAAATTTGAGACAGAAGGCCGCCTGCCCAACAGGGGCCGCTGATGGTTTGGGACAACATTTGTTGTTGGGCATTGTACCCATTCTTTCCGTATTCATTTCGGGTATCCACACTTGAGTATCTGCCACGCCGTGCTGATGATTACCCGGAAGGGGTTCTTGACGTGAGGTTTTTATCATGTGTTTTAGGGGTGAGTTTGTGAAAACCTGACGGGATTTTTTCGACATGCCTTGCTGATGTAATGTTTCTCGTGTTTCGCATGGCTCCTAATTGTTTCACCTTCTTGCCAATGCACCTTAGATGTGCACGGCTTCTCTCTCTCTCTCTCTCCCGCCACGCCGTGCTCGCGGCTTAGAGGGCGGGCATATTTTCGCATGCCAGGGGTGGAAATCGTTTCCGTGGCCTTCCTGGCTTATTCTTGGCGCGCGCGTCGCGCGCGCTTAGCCATGGACTCCAATCAGCGTTGGCGGGCGCTCCTTGCGGCGGCAGGGGCCCGCGAATCGGTTCAAGAAGCATTGGGCCCGCGCGGGTGCCGCACGGCCTCCGCGTTCTCTTTTGCCATCGGGTCGTCCCAGGCGCTGGAGGTGATTCTCGAGGAGATCCTTCTTGAGGTGGCGGCGGTCGGGGTGCCGCTGGGGGCGGCTGCAACGAACGTGGGTGCTTCTGGAGGCTCTGGCACGACGCTTAGGCGCTCTGCAATGGCGGGGGCCCCGCGCAACAACGGGCCTCCTCTGACCCCGACTGGTCCGACGCCCTGCTGCCGCGCCTCGGCAAGGAAACCCAGGACGAACTCCGGCTAGCCTTCAAGTCGAACTACCACGGGGAGATCTTGGACCCAGGCAGCATGCTGGGGCAACGCTGCTGGGCACAAGTCTACCACGTGCTTCGCTCGGACAGCTCAATCACATGGACGCCGTGGGCCCAAGAGATCAGCGAACGCAAGCGCGCGGAGATTCTGCAACGGAAAGGCAATTTTGCGGCACGCAGCAACAGGGAGCTTCTGATCCAACTGTTTTTGGAAGACACCCCGCAGGTCGACGAGTCATCCTTTTCGGCGGGCCCGTGGAAGATCAGCCAGCTCCTTCAGATTCGGCGGAACACGCTCGCTCTGTGCGGGGCTTGCCGCCTAGCGTCGCACAAGACTTCTGACGCGAAGCTCCTGGCACTCTACGCCGTGCAGTGCAGCCTTGAAAGTGGCCTCCAGGCCCCCAACCTTTCCGGTTGATCGACGCAGACATAGCAAAATTCCGAGATGGTGTACCAGCTGGTCAACGAGGAGAGCTGGTCTCTCGACGACGCCCTCCTTAAGTTCACCACCGGCAGGCAGGGTCTGGGCACCGCCGTGCAGGCGCGCCCAAAAACCGCTGCTTCAAGCGCGTCCACCCGTTCAGGCGGGAAAGGAAAACCATGTTCCGCTTCCTCCGGGGGCGAGGGCGCGCGGCGCCAGGGAGGGCACGGGCGCTCTCGAACTCCGCCGCGGGGCCCCCCGAGGAGAGGCGCTGGGCCGAAAGGGCGCGACAGGGGGGCGCCGTCGGGCAGACCGCGGCTGTCGGACCACTGGGGCAGGTCTGCGAAGGGTCCGCCGACGGGCGGTGCAAGGCCACCCGTTCGCGCCGCCGCCTCTCGCAGGGCACCCAGGGGCGCTGCGCGTATTCGCTCAAGTGCCCCGCCCCCAAGGCCGACGGGTCCATGTGTGGGGTGACCGACCACAAGGCCTCGTCCTGCCCCCACCTCGGGGGCCGGCCCCTTCGTTCGGGACAGCTCTCAACGCCGTGTCCGGCGCCCGGCGCCAGGGAAGCGCGGCCGCTAGCGCGCCCGCCGACGAATTCAGCATATCCCGAATTTCCAGACTGTCCAGCCGCGGGCAACGGCGCACCAGTTCGGCAAGGCGCGCCTGTTCATCTCAGAAATAGCGCGTTGTGTGGTCGCTTGGAGGGGGGGCGGGTGGAACCGGACCCCCCCCCCCCTGGAAGGAGGGGGGGGGGGGCCTCGAACGCCCCCCCCTCCTCCCGTGAAGGAGGGGGGGGGGTTCGAACGTTCCCCCCCCCTCCCATACTTCTCCTTTCTCCCTCTCCTCGGTGGCGCCGGCGTCGGCGGCGGCTGGCGGTGGCGGCGGGGGTGCTGGTGGTGGTGGTAGTGGCGGTGGTGCTGATGGTGGTGAGGTGATTTGTGGTGGTTGTGGTGTTGGTGGTGGTGGTGGGGTGTGCTGCTGGTAGTAGTGGTGGTGGTTGTGGCGGTGGTGGTGGTGGTGTGGTAGATTGGTGGTGGTGGTGGTGGTAGTGGTGGTGGGTTTTTGTATTGGTGGTGGTGGTGGTGAACTGTTGTGGTGGTGGTAGTGGCTGTGGTGGTGGTGGTTGTGTGGTGGTTTGGTGGTGGTGGTGGTGGGTTGAGGTGGTGATGGTGGTGGTCGTGGTGGTGGCAGTGGTGGTGGTGGTGGCGTGGTGGTTTGTGGTGGTAGTGGTGGTGCTGGTGGTGGTGGGCTGTATTGTTGGTGGTGGTGGTGCTGCTGGTAGTGGTGGTGGTTGTGGTTGTGGTGGTGGTGGGTGGTGGGTGGTGGGTGGTGGGTGGTGGTGGTGGTGGTGGTGGTTGTGGTGGTGGTGGTGGTGTGGTGGTTTGTTGGTGGTAGGTTGTGATGATGGTGGTGGTGGTGGCGGTGGTGGTGATGGTGGTGGTAATGGTGTGGTGGTTTGTGGTGGTGGTGGTTGTGGTGGGTTGTGGTGGGTTGTGGTGGTGCTGGTGGTGGTGGCGTTTTTGGTGGTGGTGTTGGTGGTGGTGAGGTGGTTGGTGATGATGGTGGTGGTGGTGATGGTGGGTTGTGGTGGTTGTGGTGGTGGTTGTGGTGGTGGCGGTTGTGTTGGTGGTGGTCTGGTGGTTTGTGGTGGTGGTGGTGGTTGTGGTTTTGTGGTTTGGCCTTCCGCTCTTCCCGCCGCTGTGTTTTGGCTTTGGGTCAGGGTTCTAATGGGTGCCTCTTGAGGTCTCGTCAGAAGGGTCTCGGGGGCGTCTGAGGAGCATGCGCGGGCTCGATATGACGATTTGTGTGTTCCGTCTGCGGCCTCTGGGTCCTCTGGTCATCGTCGCTGCGTCCCCGCCGTCGGCGCTGCTGGCCGCCGCCAGCGCGGGCGCCGGCGCCGGCGCAAGGGAGGGGGGGGGGTTGACCCCCCCCCTCCTGGGCCCTCTCTGGTCATCGTCGTTGCGTTGGCGCTGCGGCGGCCGCCAACGCCGGCGCCAGCGCCGGGGGGTGGGGGGGTGTGGGGGGGGGGGATAGGGGGGAGGGGAGTCCCCCTGGTTCTGATCGACGGCGCCGAGATGGGGGGCCCACCCCCAAAAGCGCCGCCGAATGTTCCCAAGGCAAGCGCCCGTGAAACGCGCTCTCTCTCATCTCCATGTGCGCCGCGTCTTTCTGGAGATCCACGCCGGTCAGCGTGCCCACTCGTCCGCGGGCGTCGCGCGGGCGCAACTGGCGGTAGTCGTGCCGTCGGGCGCGGGCCCCGTGCTCGGGGGCCCAGGCGCGACTTGGCGGTGGATGAAGTCTTCGGCCGCATCCTTCGCCTGACGTGGCCTGGGGCGGTAGGCTTCGCTACAGCCTCACCCCTGGACTTCAGTCATCCTTGCCGCCGCTGGCCAGCGCGTGCTCCGCCCTGCTGCAAGCGGCCGGACGCCTCGCTCCTCCTTGACGCGCAGACAGACCGGACAGACCAGATGACCCAGCGACGCTCGATCGACATCTTGACTGCTGTTCCTGCTTGCGGTGGCCACGTCTTGTCGGCACGCTCGCCGTTGACCGATGTTATTCGGGGGAAAACAAACCTACCTCGCTTTTGACCACCCTCGCTTCCAAGAGATACCAAACGATGACAAATTGCGGCCTGTACTGGTCAGGCCGCTTGACGAGGAGGCGCGTGGTATGGCTTGGTTTTGCCTGGAAGCGAAAGCGGGGGAGGTAATTCACGCTCTAAGTTATGGACGTCGCCCCGCGCTGGCTCTGGGTGGGCGCGCGAGCGCTCGGTGCTGCCCTGGGCGCGACTTGGCTCTTTGGCGTCGCCCACGGAGGCCCTCGCCCCGCTAGCGACAGCGGCCCCTCGCCACCTCGGGGGGCGCGCCCGCGCCGCGGGCGTGGGCGCGGCGGATAATCATCCAGCGCCCTCCTCCCCTCCTCTGCTCGGGCCAGGCGAAAGGGGGGGATTGGGAAAGGGGGGGGTACGAAATTCTTTACGCTTCGCGTATCCCCACCAGCCCATCTCACAACAGCAACTCTTGCGAAGCATGTCGACAGTCGTGTTTTTCAGGCGTGTGTCCGCTTGGCCCCGCATATCTCCCCTGTTACTCCTTCCTCCCGCCTCCTTGTACATCCTCCTTGTGGGGGGAGCGGGAGAAGGATGAGGTGGAGGAGGAGGGAGAGAAAGCGCTCGTCGTGGTTTGAGTCGTTTGGGTTTTTTCGTCCTGGTGTGAGTCGCTCGGGCCCTTCTTCCTGGTGTGAGTCGTTCGGACTCTTCGTGGTGTGAGTCGTTCGGGCTCTTCGTCCTGGTGTGAGTCGTTCGGGCTTCTCGTAGTGTGAGTTGTTCGGGCCCCTCGTCCTGGTGTGAGTCGTTCGGGCCCCTCCTCCTGGTGTGACTCGTTCGGGCTCCTCGTGGTGTGAGTCGTTCGGGGCCCTCGTCGTGGTGTGAGTCGTTCGGGCTCCTCGTGGTGTGAGTCGTTCGGGCGCCTCGTCCTGGTGTGAGTCGTTCGGGCCCCTCCTTCTGGTGTGAGTCGTTCGGGCTCTTCGTGGTGTGAGTCGTTCGGGCCCCTCGTCCTGGTGTGAGTCGTTCGGGCTCCTCGTGGCGTGAGGCGTTCGGGCACCTCGTCCCCTTTTGGGGCGTCTTGGGGGCCTCTTGGCGGCCCCAGGGGCTTCTAGGAGCGTCTTGGGTGCCTTGGGGGAGCCTCTTCGGGCCTCTTGGGAGCCTCTTGGAGGCCGTTTGGGGCGTCTTGGGGGCCTCTTGGCGGCCCCAGGGGCTTCCAGGAGCGTCTTGGGTGCCTCGGGGGAGCCTCTTGGGGCCTCTTGGGGGCCTCTTGGGGGCATCTTGGGGGCCTCTTGGAGGCCTCTTGGGGGCCTCCTGGGGGCCTCTTGGGGCCATCTTGGGGCCTCTTGGTGCCTCCTGGGCGCTTCTTGGGGCCATCTTGGAGGAAATCGATCAAAGAAGAGGGGAGCTTTAATTAGCGCTGCCCCCTCAGAAGGGCAAAATGGGGCCAAAACCTTAGTAAAATCAATGATTTTGGCTTGAAAGAAGAGGGGAGCTTTAATGAGCGCTGCCCCCTCAGAAGGCCAAAATGGGGCCAAAACCGTATTGAAAATCAATGATTTTGGCTTCAAAGAAGAGGGGGGGGGTTTTCTCCCTCCCCCCGTCGGGGCCAGAATCCTCGTGAGGGGTGTCGTTTTTTAGCCCTCCGAGGAGTCGAAAATGACCCCCCCAACGACCCGCGGAGGGACCTCTCCAGGCCCAGGGGGAGGGGGTGGGGTAAACCCCTCCCCGAAGGGGAAGAAGGGGGGTTGAGAACAGAGCGGGCTCTCTAAACCACTCATGCCCAAAGGGCTGGTGGGATTTGCTGCATGCAGCTGGTTTCGGCCTCACCGAGGGGCCCGTTCCTCGATACATAGCCGCCTCCGGCGCCGGGAGGCGTCGGGAAAATCAGCTACGTGAGCTGATTCTCAAACCCCCCCTTTGCTATCCCCCCCTTTCGCCCGACCCGATCTGCTCGCGGGCGGCGTCGCGCAGCTCATCCGGCCCTTCGCCGGCGCAGTCCCCGGCCAGCTGTCTGCGCTCTGGGGCGAGGTGGGCCCTGGTGGCCACGAAGAGCTCCGCCTTCCGCAGCGGACCTCTCCAGACGGCGCGCCCATTTTGGAAGTCCGACGTGCTCTGCGTTGGCCGCGGCGGCGTGCTCGCTGGCCGCCGCTTCGTGCCGTCGATTCGGGGGGGCGAGCGTGCCGTCGATTCGGGGGGGGCGAGCTCAAGGGCTCCGACCGTGGCCGGCGCGCCGCCGTCCAGTGCCACTCCGACGCCATCCGGCCAGACCTCCTCCGCAGCGCTCTCCCGCCGACGCTCCCAGGGCATGGCCTCGCGCGCCGCCTGTGGTCGCGGAGAGGCTTGCCGCGCGGATGCCCTCGTCGAGCTGTTCACCTCCCAGCGCCGCGCCGGCGCCCCGCGCCGCCGTGCTCAAGTCGGGCGTGCCCCTCTACAGGGGGATTCTTCAAAAATGGTAAAAAGAAATAGTCCGGGGACGATTTCTTGAGCGATGAATCTTTTGGGGGGTATTTTTTGAGTATTTTTCAATTTTTCGCCCCAAATCCCCCCCTGTTGGGAGACAGCCCCGACC